GCCCTCTTTTTGTTTATTATTAAACCTTTTTGTTACATTTTTGAAAACCTTGCCTGCGCCCTGGATCTGTCCTTGCCAAATCCTCTCAGTCTGGATAACAGCAGACTGACTGCTGGTAAAATATACGACAGGTCTGGACCACTCCTGAATTTTGTTCGTATCTGAAAAAAATCTTAGAATATGAAAACATTGGTGAATGTCACAAATTCTCCTAAATCACTCGTACGCACAACTTAAGAACAAATCTGTGTACCAACGGTTCTTCCATGAGGCCCAATGTTCCCACATCTTGGTCAACATCCAATTCAAAGACTTTTCAAGGACTTTCCAGTACCAGTTCCCTCAAATTTAAAAACCACACACGATGACATCACCTGCTGCTAACGCAGAAAGTTTCCAGTAAACAGGTTTAACATGTAAACTCAATGAAAAACATGTAACTCTGTCCTGAACAGGTCCAGACCCTCAGTGAGGACAGGAGGAGCTGTTCTGCTTCACCTGGGCTCAGAAAGACCTGCCCTGCTCTGCTCTGATTGGATAAAACTATGACTATGGTTCAWGTTATTTGTTGAAAACCACATCAGKCTACAGTAATCCTGAGTTATCCACAAAACTAATGTAAGATTTTTATTATTATTWGTTTTTTATAAAGATGGTGAAAATCAGTCATGTGAACAGAGAACTTCAATCCAACAAAAACATTGAAGGACTTCAAGGACCTGTGGGAACCCTGTSTTCACCAGCTGACCTGGTCCACGGAGGACAGAACAGCCCACCCAGTCCTGGTGGTCTCCACCTCAGATGAACAGTTTTTCTGTGGACAGGTTCTATCAGCACTGCAGCAGCAGCAGGTGAAACAAGCTCCCAGTTTACAGATTTCCTTCATTTCTCTGAGTTTCATCTGGTTTTACTGATTTATTTGTTGACTTCGAACAAATTGGATCAGCTACATCCTGCTTTCTGTTTGTCTCCTCCTGGTATTTTTCATTTCTTTATATAAAAAACTTTAAACTAAATCAGCTGAAGCTCTCAGACACACACACACACACACACACAC